CTCGGTGTCACTGAATTTAAGACCTTTGAGCTAATAATAACTTTCGCTTCTCTTCAAGTTGAAATTTTCAGTTTTAGAACTTTGCGTACCATCCTCAGCTTCAACCTCCAAATTGTTTTTCCTGCGTCTCGTTTTGAGAAGTTACAGTCGCATTAGTGAAGAGTGAAGTCAAAGTTTGAGGGGAATAAGTAAATGAATAGCCAAGTATAAACAAGTAGCTTTCAGCTGAATGAACTACATTTCTAGCTATAAACTAGTACTTACAGCAAGAGAAGCCCCTCCATTCTTGTTTTTATAAGCAATATTAAAGAAAGCCATAGGTCCAGATTTTTCATTTGCTTCAGGGGTTTATCGAAAAGGCAACATTCCAACGGTATTAGAACAAATTAGCTACCCCTACTGAGATAAAGTGCTAATTAATATGCTAATTAAAGTGAGAAAGCTAAAGGACTACATTGGTTCAATCAGTTCATGGTGACCCTGTGTGAAAGACTTTGATACCATCTCATGAGCAAACTCCGTATACAGTCGACTACTTCTATAGGCTGCCAATCGAGTCTACACATGATCTATATGGTCACTATTGACATATAATACTTTACAGTTGATATCACATACCTTCCACTCTGGACGGGTTTACTTAATCGTGTTAGATAAGGATTATGATCATTGGAAACTCTAAATTCCAGTTTTAGAGCTCAAAACAAGAGGTCCACACTAATATATCAATTAATACACCATTCGTGTTCTTCAAAAGCCAAAGCGAAGACAACTCTGTTTAGTAATTCTGTTTTAGACATTTAAACATAAGCTTTATGGATATGACGGATCTGTCTAATTTCTCAACATTTTATTAGTCAGAGATCCAAAATTTTTCCAACTTGATTAGACAATCTACTGGCCCATAAATTTCATAGAAATACACAAACATCTTCTAATGCAAATCCAAGTGATAAAAAAACTGAGAATCACTGTCATATGACAAAATGAGTCCTATATATGTCATGCTATTATACAAATTCTCAATCACGTGAAAGAATTTTATTTTATAGATATCGTATTTTCTTCTAAAAATGAAACGGGCTTTTCTTAGTTTTTAGGTTCCTTGGATTTTAGTTTTAAAATGTGGAAGAAAATTTTCTTTCTAGTAAAGAATTGAGCCTGTAAGATGAAGGGAAAGTGCTACTAATGTACTAGCAATAAGTTGGTGGGACATCAAGAAAACCTCTCTCTTGAATATTTCACAAGAACATACATTGAAAGAATTGCAAAATAAACCTACATTTATTCTATACTACAGGGCAGGGAGGGAGGACTAAAGAGGCCCAAAGAGAAACCGGTAGAGAGATAAAGTTTGAATCCTTGACCTCCCACCCCACCAAGCCTTACAGGCTATGGTGGTAGCCACTAAGCCAAGGTCAGTGATTAAGTCTCGCTGCTAGTCAATGTTTTACCAAAGGAAACTCCGGTTATTTCTCAAGCGAGAACCTAGGGCTTCCTCGCCAATGAACTATGGTCATCCTCGCCATTGCAAAGTGTGTAGGTTACTAGCGATGAAACTTTGCAAGGAAAATTTGGTTCCTCGCTAATTGTAGTGGGCTTCTGAAATTGGGCGAGAAGTTTGAAAGTCCTCGCTGCAATATACATTCTAGCGATAAATTTTGTAGTCCTTGCTGAAAGTTTCGTAGCTATTGCACAATTTTGTTATAGTGTCTCTTAACGGCACTTAGCATTGCCAAAGTTTTGAAAATATCACTTATCTCTCCAGATAATTGTAAAATGACAATATTATCCTTCGTTTCATACATAACATGCATATCAAATAAATAGAACGCAAAAAACTAAAGAAAAAGAAATAAAAGTCACTTTTCTCTTTCCCCTTTCTCTAACATTCTATTTTGTCCATTTTTTGGATGACTGTGCAATTTCTGTTTATAAATTATCATAAACTGAATTTTACTTATCTTTCTTTTTTCAAGTGACCATGGTAGAGTGCCATATGATTTCCTTCGTTATTTTGATTTGATTTTTGTAGCAATTTAGTACAACTTAAGGTTTAGGTCATGGGTTGAAATGAGGTTGGAAAAAAAATATGGTTCATAAAAATTCGTTTTGATCATATAAAAGCTGAACTAGTGCTAACAAGTTTCATTTTTGTTTTTCAAATTTATATATTTTAGCAGCAACAGCTTTGTGATGTGGTGGTAGTACTAAAAATTATTACTTAGATAGGGATTTTTAATAGACTAAATAAAATGGTTTAAGAGTATTTTTGTTTAGCAAAAGGAGCAAAATGATAGTTTAGGACTTTTAAAGATTTTGTCATACAAATAGCAAAAATAAGGGAGATAGGTGATTTTTTAAAACCTTAGCTATATTAAGTGACATCATGAGAAAACCTCAAGGATGGTTTCTTATATTATCCTTGTATTAAATCATAAAGGTTGGGGACCAAATAGGCTTTTTCTTTGGTAGGTTTTGGTCACGAACTAGTAAGATTTAGGGAAAGAAGTTATAAGATTGTGTTGGATATTAGGCCAAGAATTGAGAATATTTGGAGATAAGGGTAGTTTCAATTGTTTTGTTTTCTTTTATTTCTTTTCACTACTCTCTTTTCACTCTCTTATATTGGTTTGGAGTTTACAAGATCTATTTATAGTTGTAAATGATCATTCTAGATACATAGGGAAGAGTTCCAGCCACACTTACCAACAACCTTCTTAATTTCCAACCTTCTAGATACATAGAGAATATTCTAATTATCTAGAGAGCATTCCAATATTCTAGACATATAAAGAATATTCCAACTATCTCATTTACTAAATAATTAATCAAGCTAATTGATTCAGCACATTATTCAACATATTCCCCCTCTTAATATGTTGTTCTTGAACTCCAAGCATCTTTCGAAAATAGTTGAACTTGTCTTTTGGAAGTGCCTTGGTAAAGATGTCTACAACTTGGTCTTCACTCTTGCAAAATTTTAGCTCAACTTCACCATCTTCAATTGCATCTTGAATAAAATGATACTTGATAGCAATATGGTGAGTTCTGCTGTGATAAACTGGATTTTTGGCAATGTCAATTCCTGATTTGTTGTCACAGAACATCACTGTAGCTTCCTTTTCCTTTTGCTTCGTTTTGCTTCTCACAAATGGTTTGTCATGTTGCCAAACTTACGGACACATATTCAGCTTCAGTGAATGGTGACGTACGCGGGGTATACATATCAATTTAGCTCATCCACAATCAAGTTTTACATTTATAAACTCCTAAATACCCCACACGCGATTTATCACAAGTATACGAATCGTGAGTGAGTATAGGGTATTAAGGGTTGATCCCACAGGGAAGATTGCAATTACCAGTGTTTTTCGAACTCCTTTATTATCTAGACAACCATAAACATAAAAGTAATGAAAATTAGCACTAGAAAGCTCCTAGAGATATGGAATTCCTTACTACTCTTGCAAATGAAGTTACCGGTTAAGTGAATGTTATTATCTTGGCTAGTTATGCCATAATTTCCTTATGCATGTGAAACCTACTCTCGTAGTGAATCAACTATACTCGTAATTAAGCCATACCTACTCTCGTGGTTATGAAATTAACTACAATCTCATTTTTTCTATGAAATTACATGAAACAAGTCACTTAAACCACATAGGTGCACCTCTACTCTCGTGAGTGTACTCTCCTAGGTTTATTACTTACTTAAACTAGTGTTAAATTCCAATTTTCATTGCAAACTTAACACCTTAAGATATCATAATTAATGGCCAGTTAATCATGATTAGATAAGCAAAAGTGATAAATAACTTGCTCAAAATAATATCACTAAGTAGCCAAGTAAACATCACAAACAAAATATAGTAAGTTCAACTATAACTCTAGGCATAAACTTTAACTAAGCACTTTAACTAAGCATGAAGAAAATAAAAGAAAGATCCATACTTGTATTATAACTAAACATAAGATGCAATACAAGAAATAAAGTGATAAGAGAAATGTCACCCATGTCACTTGAACTCCATACTCTCCATCTTCATCCTCAACTTCATCTAAGTTTAGCTACTAATACAAGAAGGAAACACTACCCTAACTAATGAACTAAGAAAAACTAGTGAAAGCTACATTTCTGGTGAGTTTCTCTAGCCTTCCAAAGTTTTTGAATCTTGGAAGTCCATGGCTATATATAGATGAATGTAGTCAAGAAATGAGGCTTGAAACATCCCTTTTACAGCTGCTAATTGGTTGTTACATGCTCATCAATAGCTGTGAATTATTAAAGAAGGAAACAAGTTGCACAAGTGGAGAGCAACTATTTCTGACCAGAATCTGAACAATTCAACTGCAATTTTCTCTATGATTGAGGCGGAACTAGCTTTGTGTAAATAAGAAAGCTGTAGATCTCTAAATTCTCTTTCCAATGCCTCAAGAATCATCCCATTTGGAGCTCTGTGGACTGAGATATGATCAAAATACCACTGACTGATCAGAGCTCTATTGTCACCTTCCGACAGCAGACTTTGACTTTTGTATTTTGACATTTTGACCAGGAAAATGGCTGAATTGGACTTTGATGTCTCATACCAAATTTAGATACGTCTCTTAGCTTCAAAATTTTTAAGAATCATCTCAATCCAATGTATGTAGTTCAAGATATAGCCAAAATACCACAGATTGCTAAAGCTGACTTTTCTTGCATTCTTTTGTCCTTAAATTGCATTTTCTCTTTTACACATCATATTTTATTTTTATCACTTTAAACCTTCATCAATCATCCAATTATCTTCTCAATACACTCCATTTGATGATTGAATCATTAAACCTACAAAATATGAAGTTTTTATTGTAAAAATCCATAAAATGCAATTTTTACACTTTAACCATAAAATGTATATTTTCACTAGAATCCTAGTTTATTAGCTATAAAACTAAATAAAACACACCAAAACTAACCAATAAAACACACTAAAAATACGTAAAATATCTATTTGTCAGAATGATTGTGCCACACTTTGTTGCTTCTTTGATCCCCAAGAAAATACTCCAGAACCAAGTGAAAAACAAAAGCCTAAGGTGCTCTTCATATTATCAAGGCATCCACCCCAATCACTATCACAATAAACATGCAAATTTAAAGTAGCACCTTTGCTGAATTTGATGTTGTAGTTAAATGTCGTTTGATGTATCTTTACACTCTCTTGGCTGCTCCAATATGTAATTGACTGGGATTGTGTATAAACCTTGACATCTTTTTTGTCAAGCTTTTCACTTACAACAAGTGGTGTGGCCATCAGTTTACAATCAGTCATGCCAAATTTCACAAGAATATTTTCAGCATATTTCTTTTGACAAATAAAGGTTCCATTATCATATTGATAAATCTCCATACCAAGAAAATGATGTAGCAGTTCCATATCATTCATTTTATATATTTTCATCATGTCTTTCTTAAAATCAGCAATCATCTTCTCATTGTTATTGGTGTAAAGCAAATCATCAACATAAAAAGAAACATTGAGAATTTTGAGCTATCTTGAGTTTTCACATATAAGGTTTGCTCACTTTTACTCTTCTTGAATTCTTGCTCCATGAAGTAAGAATCAATTTGGCTATACAAAACCCTTAGAGTTTGTTTCAATCCATACAACACTTTCTTCAACTTATACACTTTGTCTTCTTGTCCTTTTTCGACAAAACCTTGAGGTTGTTCAACATACACCTGTTCCTTCAATTCTCCATTCAAAAAGGCAGATTTAACATCAAGTTGGTAGAGATTCCAGCCTTTATGGACTGCCATGGCAATAAGAGTTCTAATTGTATCAAATCTTGCAACCGGTGTGAATGTTTTGTTATAGTCAATTTCGAGCTGTTGTGGATAACCCTTAGCAACAAGTTTTGCCTTCTTCTTTTGGATTGAACCATTCAGATTCAACTCGACTTTGTAAATCCATTTGACACCAATGATCTCCTTGTCTTGTGACTTTTCAACTAGCTTCCAAGTCTCATTTTTCTCAATTGCATAAATTCCATCTTCCATTGCGTTTTTCCAATCCTTTTCTGCATATGCTTCTTCAAAATTTTCTGGTTCAGAACGCAAATATTATATCTTGCATGAATATCACTCAAACTCCGCATTTTCTTTGGAGTTGAATTGGGAGAATTCGAACTTGAACTTGGAGATGATGGTGGACTGCTTGTTGGTGTTGAATCATCATCATTTTCTTCTTCATTTGTTGAATTTTCTTCTTATTCATAATGACAAACAACCTCCTCCATAATCTTTTTCTCATTCCAATTCCAAGCAGCATTTTCATCAAATACAATATCTCAACTAATAATGATTTTGTTAGTCTTCAAATTAAACAATCTATAACCTTTAGACTTGGAGTTATAACCAACAAAAATACATTTTTCACTTACTTCATCAAATTTGTCCCTTTTTCTTTTGGAATTTGAGCATAGCAAATGCTCCAAAAAACCTTCAAGTGTTTCACCAATGGTATCCTTCCATTCCATGCTTCAATTGGAGTTTAATTCCATACGCCTTTTGTAGGATTTCGATTGAGCAAACATACAGCTGTATAAACAGTTTCAGCCCAAAATTTCTTTGGCAAGTCTTTCTTTCCGAGACTCCATTTTGTTGTGGTGTGTAGCCAACGGTCAGTTTCCTTTTCAAACCTTCATCTTTACAAAATTCTTAGAATGCATTTGAGGTGTACTCTTTACTACGATCACTCAACTTCTTGATGTAACAACCACTTTATTTTTCAACAAGACTTTTGAACTTTTTAAAAATTGAAAACACCGTAGATTTTTCTTTCATGAAATAGATCCAAATCATTCTTGAAAAATCATCAATGAAAAGGATGAAATACTTGTTACCTCCATGAGAAGTTGTCTTCATGGGCCCATAAACATCCGTATGAATCAGCTCCAAAATTTTTTTGGCTCGCCATGCAACTCCTTTATGAAATGGTTGCCAGTGTTGTTTGCCAACTACACAACCTTCACAAACTTCATGTTTCTCCTCAATTCTTGGTGAGCCATATGCCATCTCTCTTCGTTGAAGCACCTTGAGGTTATGAAAATTCAAATGGCCAAATCTCTTAAGCCGCAACCATGAATTTTCATTGACATGTACTTTCAAGACTTGATTTTCACTATAATTGAATTTGATTGGAAAACTTCGGTTGGCTTACATTTGGATTTCATCACAAGCTATCTACCATCCTTTTTCATAGATGCAGCACTCATAATCATCAAAGTTAAGTGCATATTTATGTTCAAGAAGATTCAAATGGCCAAACCTCTTATGCTCAACCATGAATTTTCATTGACGTACTTTCAAGACTCGACTTTCACTATAATTGAATTTGATTGGAAAACTTCGGTTCGCTTACATTTGAATTTTCATCACAAGCTGTCTACCATTCTTTTTGTTATGGATGCAACACTCATAATCATCAAAGTTAAGTGCAAATTTATGCTCAAGAAGATTCAAATGGCCAAACCTCTTATGCCCACTACTACAAAAGTGTCCTTTTATGACATTCAAAAGCGTCATTATAGATCTATGTCATGACGTTTAGGCTCTAATGACGCTCTATTAGAAGCGTCGTCCATTCTAGCGTCACGATAGGTTTATGACAGTTTTAAGTGTCCCAATTTATCATTATTATGACACTATTAAATGTCATTATCTATGCATATTATGACACTTTCAAATGACAAGAAATGTTGGGGTACAATAACATATCATGACACTTTTTTAGTATAAGTAGATAGAAATATTATGACACTTTTGAAGAGTAACTAGATCAGGCTTTTATGACATTTTCTACTTGTCAGTGTAGCATCCAAATTAAAGTGTTCCAACTTCTTGCTGCATATCATATGACGGCAGAAACCACATTTCATCCTGCCACACAAGCATCTCCAATCCTAAATTTTGAAGGATTGTAACGTAGCTAGTACAATAATATAAAAGAAGCAATACAATCATCCAAACTTGTGCAAAAGTACATCATCCAAACAATCCACACCAAAAGTGTCTACAAATTATATACTAATTTAGAATAAGGGAAGCCCTAAAGATGGATCAGAAAATTTATTATTTGAGCCACCAGCAACAGCACCACTAGTGCCACTGCCATCACCACCAATGGAGGGCTGAGACACCATAGGTGGCTGCACCTGAAGTGAGTGATCATCTTCATCCAAAGACAGTCTTTCATATGCTACGTTAGTGAAAGAAGCAGCAATAACAATCACAGGTCTAGAAGCAATCAAAGCTCCCACAACATTTCCTCCAACAACTTGACTGTATCTACCAGCCAAATATATGGTCAAATTGGTGGCACCCGGTGGAGCTAGTGGTGGAAGGAAGGAGCCCGACAATGATAAAATTTCGAACCAACCATGTAACGTCATGACTGAACCGGCAACAGCCAGTTGCCTCAAGCTCACATTGTTGACCGTGCCACTACTACTCAATATGCAAATACCTCTTTGCCTTTTTCTAACATATGTTGCAACTAATTCAAACACATCACAGCCGCTGCTGACCTCTAATTTATGTGCTCGGAGCGTGTTGGTGCTCTCTTGAGTGATTATCACCGGGGGTTTAGGCTTGTTTTTGGAGCTAGGTGGCCGGCCTCTTGGCCGAAGAGCTACAACATCGCCTGAGCTTGTGTTTGATGTGACCAGCTCTATATAGACAAAAACAGCTAAATATCTCAAACAGAAAATGCATGTTCAAACTAAAGATCCGAAGAGAAAACATAAAGACACATTCAACCATGTTGCAGTATTTCAGTTCTCTATTCAACTCAAGATTAGTTTATAAAATAAATTTCAAAAAAAGAAGGCAGAGCCTTGGCAAAAAACTAAAGGGCATGCTGCTTGGAAGAATTGAGTAAACTAGAGAGCAAATCCATTTGGCAAGCAATGAAAAACTCGTTTAGTCAATTTATCAAACATGTGGTGGGTCACAGATGCTACCAAACTCATGCTAAAGAAGGCAATAACATTTACTTGGAATCTTTCGATGGCATCCAAAAAACAATTATCTTTCGACGGCATCCATTTAGACCTAAAGTTAAAATTATCTCTTAAAACAAGAAATCAAAAAGAAAACAACCTTGATGTTAACAAAAAATTGAATCATTGATATTCTATAAACTAAACAAACATCTTAATCATCATACCTCCATCGGTGGGATGAATCCTAGTTGCTTCCTCCTTGAAAAATTAGCTGATTGGCAAGAAAATTGGCTAAATCTGCCCTAAATTGAGAGAAACAAGAGAGGGAGGGAAAGGTCACAGTACAAAAAGAGAGAGAATGCAGCGGGTGAGGAGAGATGTGATGAGATGTGGTAAGTAAGAAAAGGGAGGAAATATTAGAATTTTGGGTGAAAATAATCACGCGCTAAAACATAGAGCCAATTTTCAAATTTAAGGGTGATACGGTGTAGTTTTTTCTATTTTTGGCACCTTTTTAATGACACTCCTTACTAACTGTCATGTTAACACCCTATTATGACATTTAGGAAAAAATGTCATAATACAAGTGTCACCAAAAGCTATTTTTCTAGTAGTGGCCCAACCATGAATTTTCATTGACATGTACTTTCAAGACTTGATTTTCACTATAATTGAATTTGATTGGAAAACTTCGGTTGGCTTGTGTTTAGATTTTCATCACAAGTTGTCTACCATCCTTTTTGTCATAGATGAAGCACTTATAATTATCAAAGTTAAGTGCATATTTATGCTCAAGAAGCGGTCCAAAACTCAATAAATTTTGGTCTAAATTAGGAACAAATAAAACATCACGAATGAACTTCATACCTTGCTTGGTTTGGGTACCAATTGTTCCCAATCCTTGTGCTTGAATTATGACTCCATTTCCCATTTTCATTTCAGTCTTTATAGATTCATTCAAGTTAAAAAAAAAATAGATTTATCTCTTGTCATATGATTGCTACAATTGCTGTCAAGGTACCATACATTATCCATGACTTTACTGGCTATGTGAGAAGCATAGGATAAGTTTCCTTCTCCTTGCTTGTCTTTTCAGTCTTTATAGATTCACCCAAGTCAATAAAAATGCATTTATCTCTTATCATATGATTGCTACAACCGCTGTCAAGGTACCATATATTATTCTTGATTTCAGTGGCCATGTGACAAGCATAGAATAAGTTTCCTTCTCCTTGCTTGTCTTTTCAGTCTTTATAGATTCACCCAAGTCAATAACAATGGATTTATCTCTTGTCATATGATTGCTACAACTGCTGACAAGGTACCATATATTATTCTTGATTTCAATGGCCATGTGACAAGCAAAGAATAAGTTTCCTTCTCCTTGCTTGTCTTTTGAAAATTCTGCTTGGTGATTGGTCTTGAATTTGCAATCCTTCTCAATATGGCCAAATCTCTTGCAATAGTAGCAATTTGGCTTGTCTTTGTGCCAACAATCTTTCTCAAGGTGATTGGTCTTGCCACAATAGTTGCAAGGTTGTGAATTTTCAGCATTAAGACCTCTTTGAAGGTTGTTTCTTCGTCTTTCTCTTGAATTTTTGCCTTTGCCTCCTCCACGGCCATATCTACTGCCTCTTTGTGAGTCTCTACCTCTTTGGTAGCTACAAGATGGCTCTTGTTCATTGGTTTTGGGGCTGAAATTCAACTTCGATTGAAAAGCACTTTCAACAAATTTTTTTAGCATATCTAGCCATCCTTCTCTCATGAGCTTTCAAGGATCCCATCAACTCTTGAACACTCATTGAGGAAATATCTTTTGTCTCCTCAATTATGGACACCATTGGATCAAATTTTGGAGGCAAACTAACAAGAATCATTTCAACAATTCTACTATCACTAATTTCTTCATCAAAGGTTTTCATTGCATTTACAATTGTGGTGATTTTTGTGTAGTAATTTTCAATACTTTCATCATCACTTATCTTCAAATTTTCAAGATCTTGAAGAATAACATTTTTTTCACCTTAACATTCCCTTAGAACTCCTTTTGTAATATCTCCCATGCTTCCTTGGCATGACCGGCTCCCATAATTCTTGAACAAATATTTGGACTCACACCTTATTGGATGTGTGAAAAGGCCTTTTCTTCCTTCTTCTTATGCTCCTTAAGTGCCTTTAATTCTTGATTGGTGAGACCTTCTTCACTTTCTGGTTCTCTATAGTCATTCTCTACATATTTTCACAAATCTTGTGATCTTGAAATTGTTCTCATTTTCACGAACCAATGATCACAGTGCTCATTGGTGAATATGGGAATTGGAAGACCATCACTAGTATGATTGGCCATCTTGTATGGTTGAAAATCTCTCAAATTTTTTTGGGTTTAGGGTATGAACTAAAGCTGTAAAACCTAGCTCCAATACCAATTTGTTGGATATTAGACCAAGAATTGAGAATATTTGGAGACAAGAATAGCTTCAAGTGTTTTGTTTTCTTTTATTTCTTTTCACTCTCTTATATTGGTTTGGAGGTTACAATATCTATTTATAGTTGTAAATGATCATTCTAGATACATATGGAAGAGTTTCAGCCACACTTACCAATAACCTTCTTAATTTCCAACCTTCTAGATACATGGGGAACATGCCAAGTATCTAGAGAGCATTCCAATATTCTAGATACATAGAGAATATTCCAACTATCTCATTTATTAAGTAATTAATAGGCTAATTGATTCAGCACATTATTCAATAGATTGATTAAAATTTGTGAAAATTGGGTGCAAAAAATTACTATATTGTTTGTGATGTAACCACAAGGTTTTTCTTAAATGATAATTGTAAGTGTAGGTAATGCCACTTTTGGTCCTCCGAAGAAGATTAGCGTCTCAATCCCGTCCTTGAAAGAAAAATGTTGCAATCAAGATCTTCAAATTGAGAATTCTATAACAATTCCAGCCTCCCATCTACTTTCGTCAAGTCAATGATAGTTGACCATTTTTAAGCCATGAGACAGACTATGGTGCATCGTAAGCCGTTGTTGAGGGACGTATACTTAATTTGGCATCGAGAAAGTGAAATCAAAGAAAGAAGGCGGAAAAAAAAAAGAAAAAGATGAACATTTTTTGGAAAACTCACCATTTTAGTCCTTCAACTTTTTGCTTTTGTCAATTTAGTCTCTTAACTTAGTTTTAGCCTAATTTAGTCCTTTAACTTAAATTTTGTATCCAATTAAATTCTATTACGGTAGCACCACCAATTAAAACATTTCTGGTCCAAATTTCTACTACGGTGCTAATAGAAGAAGTACAAGTGAGGCTCAATATTAAAATGAAGAAAAAAGTTTTTCCATAACTTTGGGGGAAACAGTAAATTTACTATTGAATTACGGAGAAAAGTAGAAGTTCTTGCAAAAAAAAAAACCCAGCAACAATTGGGTCGTCTTCATCATAAACTCACAAAAAACTCTGATAGATGAATTCAGAAACAGCACCCATTTATACTCTTCATCAACTCCCATTAATCATCCATCACTCAAGAACAAAATTAATCATCCATCATCCATCAAATCCCATTAATTGGTGGTGCCACCAAAAAAGGATTTAATTGGATTCAAAATTTAAGTTAAAAGGACAAAATTAGGCTAAAACAAAGTTAAGGGACTAAATTGACATAAGTAAATAGTTGAAGGACTAAAATAGCCATTTTTCCAAAAATTTTTCATTTTAGTTTCTAAATCCTTTAAGAAAATTTTTTTTCTAAGTTCCTAAATCCTTTACCAGATTAATAACAGCCATTCCAGTGGAAAAATTTTCCCCATTTAAAGAGCATAAATTAGGGGTCCAACATTAATAAGCTGATGGGAATTGACATAAGGATTGAGTTGGAACAAAATTCTTATTTTGGACGAACTTGATTGACTCTTTTTTTTTTTTTTTCAAATTCAGACATTGTGTTGAAATTCTAATCTACTTTGGAGAATCAAAATGAATTATCCCTTAAATGTTCAAGAATAATTCCAAGTAAAATTTTGTGAGTGAAATGGGATGTTCTGATAAAGCAATAATTTTTTGGTATAAAGGTAAATGAAAATGGTGTAGTAAAAGAAAAATGTACTAAGACGTTTTAAGAAGGGATAAAAAATTTCCATGTTTTAAGGAAAGGGTAAAAAATTTCTATCAAAATTGTAAGACTTACCAGAAGGATGCAGGATTTTTTTTTTTTTTTTTTGGGAGGTCTTGAACCCTTCTTAAGGAAGGGGTAAAAAATTTCTATGTTTAAACAGTAAAAATTTTCTTTCAAAATTGTAAGTCTCACAAGAAGTATGTAGGATTTTTTTTTTATATTTTTGGTAAGTGGTGGGTCATGAACCATCTTTTTCATCTTACCACTCAATCTAATCCCTCCAACCAAGGATTTTTTATTATAGAAAGTAGTAAATTACATTTTTATGAGAAGGGAAATTTTCTATAAAAATGGTAAATTTGAATAGTACATTGGTCAGGATTAACTTTAACCGCATAAAGGTATTTCATATTTGTGATCCGCTCAAAGAGGTTTATGTATTAACCCATTTTTTGTTTATGTTTTTATTATACGCTACTATTTTGCTATATATTTCTGTCGCTTTTTTTTTTTTTTTTGGATTAAGTTTGCATTAGGAGACGAGTGACCAAGTCCTTCTAGAGCATGAGTTCGTTTCCATAACAAACTCTAATTGCTCGTTTCCATTAGAAACTCTAATTGGCTAAACATTGTTTCTGTTTACCACCCATAAAAACATTCCTAAATTCTTATCTCCACATTGAAATTCTTATACAAAAAAATCAAGAAGGGTAGTCTGGAAGTTCGTGGGCAAGGAAGACATGAAAGGATTGTTTGGATTTTTCGGACGAAAAGGCACAGAGGTACGACTTGTAAGTTTCAGTGATGTGTTTGATGTTGATGCTTGAACAATTTAACTTGAAAATCACACATAAGTTTTTCAAGTCTTCTTCATATTTATGGTTTTTTTGTCTGTTTAATTTCAGTTTATTTCTTGTGATGTAACTTGGATTTATTTGTGATGATGTAGTTTTAATTGGCGAGACAAATATGCTCAGTCTTTAATGTTTTTTTACCTTGTTCGTCTTATGTGCTTTATCTTATGTATACTCTATTGCGATACTTGTGAAACAAAAGGAGGAGAAGAGAGGAGATGGCTAAGGAGACGAATAATAATTAGCAGTACAAAAAGGGTTGTGAAGTTTGAGAGAAGTTTAAACTCGGGCTTAGATTTCTTAAAAATACAGTGATGAATTAAAGTTTCTGTGTACAGGAGGAAATTCAGAATCTCCTTGATGAACTGGATCAAAAAAACCAACAGCTGAATTTAGAATTGCTTGGGATTAGGAGAAAGGCTGATGATTTGGATCATAAGGAAGTCGAAATCACCAACTTGGGGGAAAGGTTGATGAAAAAGGAAGAAATATTAGATGATCTGCTGGGTACCGTTGAGGAGAAAGACCAGGTTGTGGAGGCCAAGTTGGAACTTGCCAAGGAGAAAGAAGAATATATCAAGAATGAGGAGAAAATGTTGGATTTGGAAAAGCAACAAATTAGTTCTGACCGAAAAAGTTTGCTAGATCTTAAAGATGAACTTAAAAGGACAATGGATGAAATTAGACAAAAACAACAGCAGATTGATGATGAAAATAAAAACCTTCAAGTTCAGAAAGAATTGCTTTTGACGGAGGAGGATGATCTGAAACAATTGAGGAAGCAATTGGAGCAAGAAAGGGAGGCGTTGGATGAGAAGAAAGTGGTTGCACCTGCTTCTGATCGGAAGTCTTCTGATAAATCTGGTGGCTGCTGCCGCCGCAATTCTTGGCTCAGAAATTGCACTCCAAGTATTTTTAAATTATCCCGCAAAGAATCACAGGGTTTGCCAGATTCAAGGCGCTCTGATGAAAAAGCTACCAGGAAGAGGGCACGGGACGATGATCAAACTCCTATTGAAGCAGAGACAGAAAAGGGCAGGAAAAGGAGGCAAACTGACACTCCTTTAGTAGTCCCAGGGCTGCAGTTTACACCTAATGAACCATTTGACACTGAGGTAAATCCTTCTAGTTTCTTGATAAATTTTGATCTGCATAGAAAAATGGCCTTTCTTCAACATGTACATATTTCTTTGTTTACAGCCGCGGATTCAATTGTCTGAGTATGTCTTGGATGGTAATGATGGTGGAGATGAATCTGGCGACAACTTTGAGCAGTTGATTAAAGCATCATCTGGAGATGGCTTGGATGATATTAATGGTGATGGATATGCCACCGACAACGGCAACAAGGAGGAGGAGGAGGAGGAGGAGGATGATGATGAACATCTTGGTAAAACGTCAGTGAGTAGAAAGATATGGAACTTCTTGACAACATAAAAATCCGTCCTTAGCGGGAAGCCCTAACTTATCCTCCTAGTTTAGCCGTTGTACATGATTTTAGTTCTAAATGTCCCACTAAACTTAATGCAGACAGATGATAGTTGAATATTTTTTATTTTTCAGTTTTTTTCTACCAAATTGTTACATATTCCTTTTTTCTTACTCCTCTGAATAATCCCTTGGATATTTTCTTTTTATACATGTG